AAAAATTTCGATTGACAAATTAGTCTGTATTCTCGACACAGCAATTATAGGACTTGAACAGCATAACTTTGTAACTGAACAAGAAATTATGTCTGTTTACAGAATTAAAGAGAATGTATTATCACATAAAAAACAAAGCAACTTAAACAACTTACATTGAAAGAAATGTTTAATAAAGTAAACAAATAAATAATAAGCTTTTTTTTTTTTGTTTGTAAATTTTGATACTCTTTAGATCATAATTGTTCTTTATTTCATAAATTACGGTTTCATATTTTTAATTTTATAATTTCTGCATGCCATCTTACCAGATTTAAACTGATGATGTATAATCCGGAACCGCCGAAGTCCCGATGAGTCCGGATTAACGACTTTTGACTGTACAATATACAAGGTGTTGGGGATAAATTTGACAGTTTCGTAAGGAAAAAGAAAATCCGCTTGTATGAGTAGTAGCAAAGGTCTTCATTGAGTGCAAGCTTCATAGTAGAGGCTGCAACATTCATTTCACACGACAAAGCCCGAATTCCAATGCCAGGGTTCTTCAACACCTGTCCTGCAGATTTGCGAGGAATTCTGCTGTATGAACACAATCAGATCGTCTGCTAGGGATCTTTCTTCTTGCTACATCCTCGTAGTCACCATTACAAGTCTCTAATTCATGCCTGATTGTTTTTACTGTGTTTAGGGAGCATTGGGCAGCAGTCATAATATCCTTATTTTGATGGCCGGCACGAATCATTATGATGCAAGTTATTCTCTTCCATGATTCAGGTAGGTTCCAGTCATTCATCCTTTCTGACATCTTGTATATGAATGAAGAAAGGTCCAAATTTTTAAATGACGAGTAGTGTGAGTGTGTGTGTCAATACCTCCAACCTACGGAAAAATATAATCAATTATAAATATGTCAAATTTATCCCGAACACCCTGTATATTCCTATAATGAATCTTTACCATTTTCCTCACTGATATTCAAAATATTAAAAATGCCTTGCAATTCCTTTGTGGCGTCTAAATAAAAACCATGTTTTCTAAAGCTGGACTGTTTTAAACTGTGTTCTCGGAGACTGCTTCTCATGCACTGACTGTAATATGGTAGCCTCTAGCAAAAATTGCAACTTAGTTACCTCCTTTGAAGTGCTTGCATTTTCACAGCATTCAATTTTGTGTATCTGTTTTGAATGATACCGTTTCTGTAATGACATTTGAAAGCTTTGGTAATACATTGGTCTCAAGCCTGAATGAGAGAAGTCATATTTGCAGGAAGAAACTTTAATTTAATGTTCTTCTGAATGATATCAGAGAGGCGTGCAGCATAGTTATCTAACAGTAAAGCTATTTTTTGGTTTTTCTGAATATTTTTAGTTAAAGGAAAATTCTTGGCTCTTCTATACTAGCATTACGGCATTTTCCATCTACCTATAACTACCATCCGCATCATTTTGACCGCTTGCTCCGAATAGAAGAAAAGGCTCGCTTTTTGCTAATATTATGTAAAGTTAATGCTTCTAATGATACATTTTGCTAGTTTAATAAGTAAATAAAGTAAATTGAGTAAATACATTTGACCAAAAGAAAATTTAATGTAACAAAGAGCAAAATAAAGTGAGTAAATATATTAATCAAAGGATAATATAATATAATGAAGAGCTAAAAGAAAAAAAAATCACTTTAGATACTTTTAAATTTCTTATTATGTTACAAATTATAAAAATTTTCTATATCAAATAAATATATTAAAGATTACACATGTTAGTACTTACATTACTCGGTTTTGCAGTGTATACAGATTACGAACTTTTTAATTTTACCTGTACAGGTTCCACAAACATATTTTTTACAGTATTCACAAGTATTCAGAGTTTTGTTATCTTTGCATGCATTTATTTGGCATTGTTTAAATTTATGGGAAGGCTTGATGCAAATATCAGTTCTCTTTTCACGAGATACAGGAAGCTTGTGAATTTTGGATGAAATGTACATCTTTCAAAGATCCACAATCGTATTCAAAATAAAATCACAACACCTGATAATCTTATATTCAGTTGTTTCCTTGTAAATTATCCATGAACTTAATGCCAAATCAAGAATATAAAGGGGAAAAAAAAAAAAAATCTTGAGCTTGCCAATGTCTGGATAAGGACTTCACTGAGTATTTTCTGCTCATCTTGTCCAAAATTGAACTCCATATTTGGTCAAATCGTATAAATTCACAACTTCTGATGTCTTGTTTTCATCAGATGCGATTTCCAATGTTGGGTGCCTGATACTCTTGAGCAAGACGTTCTTGTTTTTTCCCTTGATAAGATGTGTTATATTGACATGCTTAACAATCTTACTACAAGAGAGCTCATCTCTCATATTTCTAAAAGAATAAGGTACTTCTCTTTTTGAACAATTTATTGTGCCAATGCAACTTAACCCAGAGCTCGTCATTTCTTTTTCTAATTTCAGTGAAGTAAAAAAATTGTCCGATGTCAGCATTACTTTCATGTACTACTTGAGTTACTATCAGTTATTTTTCTCCTTGTGTACAAAGATGGCCCAGCTTCTTCTCATAAGACATTCTGCTGAGGAAGTCTCCCTGTAACGCTTGTAGAAATATTTCCTATTTTCTAAACTGAACCATAATTTGCTGTTTGTTCATTGTTTTGAATTTTCTTACTTTGGATACATCTCCCTCATTCTCGAGTTCTGGTTTGTTGCCTTTCACTACTTTCTCGAGCTCGACTTACTGCCGTTGATTTCACTTCTGGAAACTATACTAGTAGAAGGCAATGTAATATTTTCTTGATATAAATTTTTACTTTTCTTTTCTGTTTTGTGAACAAATTCTCCATCAGACGAATTGTATTCATTTATCTCTGTAGGAACAAACCAGACCTCATTGAATAAATTGGATATAGTTTCGTATAAAATTCTTCATCAGGTTCAGTTTCTGAAGCGGAATTATCATCAGAAAGGCTTTCAAAAACTTTCAGCATCTCTTCTTTCGTTAGATATTCTCTACCAAAGATTCTATGTGATATGATAAACAGGGCAGAACAACAAAACAATCCAAATGAAGTAAAGTACTTTTGTATCTACTGAAAAATAACCTTTCTAACCCAAGAGAAACGGGCAGACACGTGGCATGCAAAAATTCCAAGCAGGTGTTTTTATTCCATCCTCCTCATCTCCCCATCCACTCCTGCGAATCCTTATATATTAATATTCCTTATATTTATCAGCAAACCAAAAATAGCTAAAAAAAAGTGTAAAAAATAACGAAAACTGTATGATTTTCTGGATATGGTCAAAATGACTGATAACCACAGTTCTAGGTACAAACGATAATATTGGCAAAAATAATTATTTGAAACGGACAAAAAAATCATGTAATATTCATGAGTTTTTAGAAAAAGTGAAAAATAACAAAGTTATAAATAAAGAATTTAAAAAGTTATGTCCAATTAAAATGGAGATATGGTCAAAATGACCGTTGCCTTAATTCTAGTGTTAAACATTTAGGTTTTTCTATTTTTTAAATAACTAATGGTATGTGCTCATCTGTTGCATCCATATAACATACTCATTCTTTTAATTCCCCCCAAACCAGATGCTATTTCAAATTTAAAAATTAAAAGGAGCTCTGGTAATGCTTTGTAAAGCAGACCAGTTTCATCTATGTTATAAATTTCATGTGGTTTATATTCTTTTAGAAGCCTGGGTAAAACATATTTTATCCAATTTTCAGCCAAATGATGATCTACACTTTGCTTCTGATCATGTAGTTACCCATAAGTAATGTTATTTCTCTCTTTCCATCTTGTGAGTTATTCACCAGTTGGCCCAAAATTTTCTTCTACCATTTTAGTGGGTTCATCAACTTTTGTGAATGAAAGAAATCTAGAAATTGGAAGATTTTTTAGTCTTGTAACTTAAAACCATTCTAGAAGAGGAGTTTCAGCGTCCCTCTATTTTCTATCTCTTTTATGTTTCCTTGAGACAGTTGCATTTTTTACTAGTTTTTTATCACTTTTATTTCTTTATTTAAGTAAGGTGCTCAATGCTGTTTTGGAAATTCCCATTTTAAATGCTGATTCTCTGTGGCTGCATTTATCAAACATATAATTTTTCAGCAATTTATCCTTTTCTTTCAGGCTTAAATCATTTCTATCAGGCATTTTTCATGTGCTACAAGCCAAGCACATAACAAATAGAAAATTCTTCCAGTGGTTTGATCAAATCCCAAACTCCTGTTTAGCCAGCAGGAAACTTGCACTTTGTCTGTCAAGTCACTATTATCGTGGTTATTATAGATGTAATAAATTTTTTGTTTCTTCAGTCTACAGTGACCACTTCTCTTTTAAATTCAAAGACTAATAATGTACGGTAATGCAAGAAAGCATTTCATGATGTTTTCTGAGAGTATCCTGCAAAATTAATGTGTGTATTCACTTTCTATCAGCTGGTGTTTGAGAAAGAAAATCAGTTTTTACTTAAACATCCCCTTTCCTTTAATTCTGGGAAACATTGGTTCATGTAGAATCAGTTTCCAATGCCTTTGGTGGACTGCTTTTGTTAAGCATAAAATAAAGATATTCTGTCACTTTCGGCTCTTGTGCCGGCAAAGAAATTTACAAACAGTGTCTGACAGGGACTAAAGAAGGGTTCCCAACACCTACAGGTGATCTTGATTCTAACTATATGGCTGAAACTTCTGCTAAACCCATTTTAGTGAAGCAATGCATAGTTGCAAGATAAATGAATGAACTGTAAATGGCTTTTATCAGTCACAAAGAGTTTAATTTGGATCTGAAGAAATAGTTTTTTGACAGTTTGAATTTTTCAAGGGGTGGAAATAAATTTAATAAATGTCACCTTCTTCTATTGGTTAGTATATATTTGTTTTGTTTCCTGAAAATTAGAATATAGTAAGCAGCTGCATTTAACAAGTGGCAGGTACTGTGCATATAATATGTTTTACCAGTTTTCTTTTTATTTGTCTTCTGTAGGCAGCAGAAACTGGCAGTGGGAAAACAGGAGCATTTTGCTTGCCAATCTTACAAATTGTTTGGGAAACACTGAGTGACCAATTAAGTGGAAAATCAAAAAAGTCTGACACTGGAGGAGGTTCTGCACAGTGTAATGATGTGTTCTCTTTACCTATTTAATATTAAATTTATTCAGATAATGTTAATTTGTGTGTGATTTGTGAGATATTGCATGTTTCAGAATGAAATGCTCATTTTGTTTCATCTTAATATTGTGTATTTGTAAGTAGTGGCTTCTACGTTTGAGTTGTATTGAGATAAAGGAACATAAACAGTAAAAAAGCAGATTTTTAGAGAATCAGATTTCAAAACAAAAATTTTATTTTTTTTACATCAAACTGTGTTGTTATAGCATAAGCTTTTAGAAAAAATTATTGTATACATTTTAATAGTAAAAGGCCACGTGACTTGTGTTTCTCTTATTTTTCTTCTTTATAACCTGCTTCTATTTTTTGGGGGGGGAAGGGTTAATTTATATAACAATTACAAAAAATTCTCTTTTAAGTTTATTAATTTTCTGATATTCTTCTGTACCTAGGACTCATTTTAGATTTTGTTAAAATATATTTCCTAAAGTTACTAAACCAGTACTCACTCCATCCAGAAATAATTATCTAATTGGAGATTTTTATTTATCTGTAAATAAATGTCCAAAAATAGTTCAATTTAATTTAATTAACAAAATTATAAAACATATTAAAAATGATATTTAATTAGTAATTAAGCTGTATTTATTGTATCTTGTGTTTTTGTCACAAAATTCGTGTGACCATTTTGAAATTTGTGGTTTTTAATAAACTTGTTACGTTGGGGGTAAACTGGGTTTCTTTAGAGAATTTGTGGCCAAAAATTTGTTTCTGTCATCTGTATTTAGGTCAAATGGAAAGTTTGAATTTTCTTGGAAGAATTTTAAATGATTTGTAGCAAAATGACTTGTTTAAAAAAAAATCATCTTATTACATTAGTGTTATATTTCACATCTGTCAATGGAATACAAAATATTGATAATAAACTTGATTAAAGTAAAAAAGTATTAAATAATTGCAAAATACAGCTGTATAGCCCAATAAATCAAATTTTATGCCGAAAACCATAAATAAAATGTGTGTTCTTTTTTGCAATCAGCACCATTACTAGGGAAAAATAATTAATGAATTCCTAACTTCATAAAATAATGTGTTCATTTGGAATGTCTGACATAACGATTTTTTGTAATTTTAGCAAATCTTACTCTTACATTTTATTTTTTTTTGAAAGTGAGAATCTGTTGTAAAGCATTTGCAAAGAAAAAATTATGTTTTATGAGGTCATCCGTGTATCTCAGTTAACCAATAAATTAGTTTAATTAAATTTTTTGCTCTTCAATGCCAGGCAGTATAGCAAAACCAAAAGTAAGTAATAAGAACTGTGAAATTAAGCTTTTTTTCATTTATAATAAATGCCTCACCAGATTCAAAATCATGACAAAATGATATGATTTTTGAGTGGAATTTCATCAATTAAAAAATGCAGCTATTGCATTCTTCCAAGAAAGGAATATCATCTTTTGGTGGATATTTCCCCTATTTTACTTACTGTCCAAAAATTGAGAGGGGGAAAATTATGTAAGTAATTTAATTTCTGAAGGATTCAGTTATAGTAAGAACATAACAAGTGAAATGTAATCATTGATAAACTACAGTTAACTATTACAGTATTATTTATTTAAAAGAAACCTACCTTGCAATTAGAACACATTGTAATATTAACTCGTAATATCTAATACGATGCCTTTATTTCTAACACGTCATTCAATAAGTCCCGGGACTAACAGACAGATGGCATTAGTAATATCAACTCGACTTCGTTGTTCGAAAGAATCAAATGACGATGTGTCTGATTTTCATGGCAGTCAGACCAGAAACAGCGAAGCTACTGTGGTGAAACTGACGCTACTTGTGCATTTGTGGACAAAATTGACAAAAACGAAATTCGAATGTTGATCAAACATAGCTATTTAATGGGCAAAATTACCATGCAAGCTCAGCAATGGCTTGAAAAATGTTATCCAGACTCTGCTCCATCGAAAATAACCATTTGCTGGTGGTATGCTGATTTCAAATACGATTGCACGAATACAAATGATGCGGCATGCTCGGGTAGGCTAAATGAAGTAGTCACTCCGGAAAATGTGAAACAAGTGTAAAAAATCGTAATGAATAACCACAACTAAAAATTCATGAGATTGCTGAGATGGTAAACATATCAACTGGAAGTGCGTGTACAATTTTACATGAAAAGTTGGGCATGAAAATAGGCCGCCCCCCAAAAAAAGTCTGCCACTCGAGCTCACAATGCTATAAAAGTAACAATGAGTTGATGATTTACAGAGCTGTTTGTCTTTGTTTACTCGCAGTAAACAGGATTTCCTGTGTTGGTATGTGACAATGGATGAAACATGGATCCACCATTTCATTCTGGAGTCAAAGTGGCAGTCAGCTGAGTGGTGTGCACCCGGCAAAAGCCATCTGAAGTGTCCAAAAACGCAACAGTCAGCTGTCAAAGTCATAGCGTTATTGTTTTGGGATGCGCGAGGTATAATTTTACATCGACTACCTTGAAAAGGGAAAATCAGTCAATAGCGCCTATTACAGTGGAGGAAAAAAAAAAAAAAAAAAAACCGCACATGAAGAAGAAAAAAAAAACATCAAAACATCTTCAAAACAATGCCCTATGCCACATGTCAATGCAAGCACTGGTTACATTGAATGAGTTGGGTTTCACTCTGCTTCCCCACCCACCATGCTTTTCAGATCTAGCCCTCAGTGATTACTAGCTGTTTGCTGATCTAAAAAAGATGAACCAAGGAAAAAATTTGGCCTTGAACGAGGAAGTTATCTCTGCCACTGAAGCTTATTTTGGGTACAAGGAAAAATCGTTTTACAAGCATGGTATTGAAAAGTTAGAAAAGCGTTAGAATGATTGTATAGCTCTTGACAGTGATTATGTTGATGAATAAACATGAATTTTGTGAAACGCATGTTGATTTCTTAGTTTCAGGACTTACTGAACAATGTGTTACTTCTCTGTAACTTAAATTTCATCCATTTTTATTGTCTATGCTACTCATTAAGCTTCAAATCATCCGTCAATAGTTAGAGAAAGTGAATATACAGCCTACTTGGCAAAATCTCAGACTGAATGTCAGTTTATGTTCGTTTCGCTGTGATTGGTCAGTTTTTGTACTAAGCCGACTTAAAGTTCAGCAGTAAGAAGTAATGGCATGACCATTTGCGTGTAGTTTGCGAAGGTTTGTCTTTGCTGGCAAGACAAAAACAGTTGGTGGACAAGTCCATTTTAAAATTTAAGGGAGCTTGGTAAAAATTGCATGAATATTTTTTAGTTTCAGAACTTAATGGTAGAAATCATGCAGGAAAATTATATGATGACCTGCAGTATAGCATCCACTTGAATTTTCGAGAATAACTATCAACAGGTATATACAGCAGGAACTATATGCAGCTATAGTATGAAACATTGCTTGGAAAAAGGCACTTTCACATTGGTGACTAGTTTGCTGCTTTCAAAATTACATTCCTCATGGCAATAAGTTGCTATTGCTGATTTATGGCCACATGAAAAATGAATTACAACTTGTTTGAATAAGAATTTACATTTTTGAAAATAAAATAATAATTTTCAGTGGTTCCTTCAAAATTCTGTCATTTAAAGTTTCTTTTTTTTTTTCTCCTTTTTTGTATGTGATCTTAATTTGCCAATTTTTTCTCTTCTGCGATTTGAGTTTAAAAAATAAGTCAGCAGTATAGAAGTCAATGTCAAGGGGGAAAAAAAAAAACTATTTCTTAACATTATCACATAAATATTTAAAAAAATTAAATTGTCATAAAGTTGTAATTTTTTTATTATTTAAAATTTTTGGAATACTTATTACAGCATTTTGATACCACCATAATTACTATAATCAAATAATTCATTGTATTAAATAGTTAGATACCGTATTTGATGGCATATAAGATGCACTTTTTTCCTAAATTTGGTCTCAAAAAAGTTACCTGCGTCTTATACGTGAAGGACACAGGTTGACTTTCAATACTGAATGTTATTTTTAGCCCGGTTAAAGGTCTAGACACGCATAACTTTTTCTACATCTGACATAATTATTTTGCGCATGTGTGAAATATCTGTCGCTAAAAAGCACCAAAGCTCGAAGCTGATGTCGGAGTTCGAACAGGTTCGACGGTCACATTACGTCTATGGGGCCTTTCCTTCTTTACATAGACTTTATTTGACTCAGCCGACACATGTGTCGGTATCAGTGCTACTCTGTATAAACATGTCGGTATCGGTGCTTAAAACTATTTGTTTTAAAAAAATACAAAATTTATAAAAAAATACAATTTAAAAAATAAATAAATGTTTATTTGGCTTTTACGAAACGTGAGAACTAAAAGAAACCACATTTTAAGTTATTGTGGTGCCGCGCTGTCGTGCGGACTATTGTTACTTTTTTTCAGTGTGTGTGGCCTTCTACATAAGGGTGTGTCTTATATGCTGTCAAATACAGTATGTTTTATCTATGTATTTATTAATTTTATTGTGCATGTGTTTTTATTATTAAAAAGCACATATTTAAAATTTGCTATATTCACAGACAAAATTTTGAAATGATCTTATAATATCTATTTTGTAATTAAAGAACTTGAATACATTTTTTTAGCATCTAAATGGAGAATGAGCTATTTTGACCGAGGAAGTGCTTTAGGTAAACTCATCTTATTATCTGTTTATTTGCATATTTTTATAGAAAAACAAAATTTACCTTGCATTGATGTATTTTTAAAAATTGCTTACATGTAAGGTGACCAGATTTCAAAGTTCGAAATTCAGGATGCTATATATCTATATAATTTTAAATCAAAATAAATAGTTTTTTTAATTTTCTATAATAATATATAAGTTAATTTCTAATAATGATTTTTATTAAAAAAATTTAAATCAGATTAAAAAATAAATTTAAATTTAAATCAAAATAAATAGTTTTTTTTTAATTTTCTAATAATAATATATAAGTTAATTTCTAATAATGATTTTTATTAAAAAAATTTTAATGCATTATTCATTTTTAAACAAAATAATAAATTTGTAATCTTTCTAAATTGTTTTAATGAAGTTGTAAGCATTATGTTAATTTATCTAACAGTTATTTTGAGTTAAAGTTACCGTCCTATCTTTTCTTAATTTCAAGCTTACAACTTCCAGCCAGAACGTATTTTTAAAATCGTGTTTGATTGCAAATGAGGAGAAATATTTAACTGTGAAGTTCTACTGACTTCGTTAGAGAGAACCAGTGATTCTGACTAGTGTGCATCTGCCTTTTTGGGCTACTCTCTCTTAAGCTATTATTACACTCTTCCGTACTTTAGGCCCTTGATAGTTTCGCCATTATTTAGCGTTAAGGGGCCAACTTTGTTAGAATTTTTATAGCTTTGGCTATATCTTTTTAGTTAAGATTAGGTAAGCTTTATTCCTTAGTTTCCTAAGTTCAAGCTCAAGTAGAGGCTTTATTGTAAAACTCCAAGAAGGAGTTCTGTTAAACTTTATTGGAATATTAAAGGGTAATTTCACCTTTCGTACATTTTGTTCTTTGTCTGCTGAACTGAAGCGATTATTCGCTTATCAGTTCTTAAGATTCTGTAATTTAAAAGTACACAGGTTAGAATCTTACAAAGTAGTCTTATATTTCACTGAAGCATGAATATTTCTTAGAACATCATTTTCTTTTTTTGATCTTATAAAAGTCCGTGCAAATTTCATTAAAATTTATTTCAGTGATTAATATACCCTTCCAAGTGTCCACTTTAAGCTATGTCTTATCACTAGTCCAAAACTATTCAAGTGCTAAATACTCGCTCAATTGCAGCATTAGTGCCAGGAAGACAAAGGAAAAACTCCAGCAATATTAAAACATTTGAACAAGTAATCTGTGCAAATGTTTTAAAATTTAACAGATCCATCCACCCCTTAACTGGGCATATCTTATTTTTTGGCCATTCCAATATTTTTCTTCCATGATATAACATAAAACATAAAGTTTAAGATAAACATATTGTTCATACATATCATATATATAACACAAAATTTAAGATAAACATATTGTTCATACATATCAATTTCCAATAATTTATTATTTGGTGTAATTTTATTAGTTAACAAAAAAGCTGTTTCAACTTGACTTAAAGGAGGGATTTCATTTAATATCATCCAGCTGTACATTTCCATCTCTTGAAATACTTTTTTGCCCATTTCTCCACATGAGTAACAACGGTCTGATAAAATGAAACAATAGCTTCTTGAAATTCAATAGCTTCGTATTGTGACACATTGCCATCATCTTCATGTTTTTCCAGAGTTTCTTTTATTCTCTATCTTGCTCAATATTGAAGCTTTCAGAGCATCTGTTGAAGTAATTACATCAAATACAAACACAGTTTGATTTTTCAATTGTAATATTTTTATTAAATATTAAAGCCTGAGTGTTAATAAAATGTAGCCAAGTTTCTGCCTGTGGATTTTCAATGAATTTTAAAATAAAATAAGCATGGAATACTTTTCTTGAGGATGAAAATAAGCCTTCAACATTTTCTTGAGGATGAAAATAAGCCTTCCAAAAACATTTGGAGTACCCTTTCAATGGTGGGAAGTAATGTTAATCATCTTGTTTGTAAATACTCTAGTATCAGTGAAAAATCAGTTTCTATGAAGTTGCAGAAAGTTTTCAATGTTTCTTTTTGAACAATATAAGATTTTAAGTGTATCTTAGAGATAATCATTTCTGTATTAAGTGGGAAACCATCAGCTGTTGTTCTTATAGTGTTATGGATAATACATGCTGCACATTTTGACTCCATTTAAACCATGGTTAAGGCTCCATTTCACTTTAGCAAAAAAGTTATTTTCTGCACATCTATCAGCTGCTCCAAAGTTAGAATTCATATTATTGGCACAAAGACCAAAAGCTTTTTTTTTTCATTTTAAATTATTTTTCTCAAGACAGGTAGTTAAAGAGTTACTGACAATATCACATGTTTCACCAGGTAAGGATTTAAATTCTAAAAATTTTACTCTTAATTCTGTAACTCCTATCTATAAATCTAATAAGTATTGGAAAAAGTTTTATTTCCTTGTGATTGGATGCATTAGTTAAGATTGAAATAAATCAACATTTTTCCAAATCAATGTGCAAAGCATTCAAAGCGTAAGACAGGAAAACATTTAGTATTATTGCTTCGTCCCTGGTTCATGCACATGTTAATTTAGGCTGTGTTGAACATTTAAAATGCCATGGTTCAAAAAACAAACATTTGTTACAGAGCAACACGCACAGAGAGAGAAAAATGTTATGAAACTTGCAAGAGCAGCCTTTAGTAGCCTCTGCTACTTTAACTGCCTAACTTGGAGATTGCCCGTAAGGCTAGAGGGGGAAAAATATTAATGGGAGATAACCTCCCCCCCCTAAAGAGACGAAGCTGGAAAGGTACAATAATACCTAAATTAAAAAAATTTAGAAGCAGCATCTGAGAAAGCCGTTCGAGCTGTGAATATGAAAATACTTTTACAAGCTGATAGGCTTGTACTACAACGTGGGTAACGACCATCTTACTATTTTCAGATTGAAACAATAAATTATTTACTTTAAATTCAATGAGAAACTTATAAAAGTTCATTAAATAAATCATATAACACTTGAAATAAGGTAATTGATCAACGCAAATGGCACACTGGAGACAAATATGCATGAAAATTTCAGAGTTCTTATGAAGAACGCAAACAAATGGGCGGTGTCAGTCACTAGGAGGTCACCCTCCACAAAAAAAAAAAAGTTTACAGAGGCTATATATATAACTTTGAAGCAGATCATGGTTTAGCGAATCACAAACAAGACACATAAAACAATCAATCAAAAAATAACATAAAGAAAATATAAACAAATAAAATAGGATTAAGTTTCAGAATACATTGGACCTGACAGAGCTATTATTCTTTTTAAGCAATAAGAATGCGATTACAAATATCTCAACACTCCCCCTTAATTTCACATTATAGTAAAGATTCACATTATAGTACACAGTTTTTAAACAGCTCAATGACAATAGTTCATAGAATTTTGTTTTAGACAGAGTCTTAGTTAACATATCTGCGAATTGTAAACTTGATTATACATATTCAATTTTAATATTATTTTCTTTAACAGTCTTACACGTGAACTTATTTTATATCTATATGTTTCAACCTACCTGAAACATTTTCATTAACAATACTTTTCATACATGACTGGTTATCTTAAAAAATATAAACATTTTTAACACTGGAAATTTCATTTACTACATTTTTTATCCATAAGACATCTTGAATACCTTTGCATAAAGCAATTATTTCAGCTTCTGTTGATGCAAGTGAATACACTTTTGTTTGTTACGGCACCACATAATAGGACAGTTTGAAAACACTATAAAGTAACCAGTAATTGATTTCTTATCTTGAGTATCTCCCCCCCCCCCAATCTGCATCTACATACAAACATAAGTTTGCCCTTTCCAAATCACCCTTTTTGTGTATCATTTGTAAAGTTAAGTTGTTTTTCAAGTACCCAAGAATTCTCTTTAGAGCACACCAGGCAACATCAGTAGGATGCTTCTCCAGTTTGCTTAAGCAATTTACTGCAAATAAAATATCTGGCCTTGTAATATATGCTAAATAAAGTAAAGATCCAATTAATTCTTTGTATGGGCTATAAAATGCATTTCCTTTCTGAAAATCAGCTGCTGTAGATTTTGGTTCAATGGGAGTTTGGGCTGTTTTACAATCAGACATTTTAAATTTATCAAGTAACTTTTCAATACATTCAAAAGCCGTTAATCCGGACTCGTCGGGACTTTGGCGATTCCGGATTATCGATTTTTCCAAATTATAGATCATCAGTTTAAATCTGGTAAGATGGCATGCAGAAATTATAAAATTAAAACTATGAAACCGTAATTTATGAAATAAAAAACAATTATGATCTAAAGGGTATCAAAATTTACAAAAAAAAAAAAAAAAGCTTAATATTTATTTGTTTACTTTATTAAACATTTCTTTCAATGTAAGTTGTTTCGTTTTATGTGATAATACTTTCTCTTTAATTCTATAAACAGACATAATTTCTTGTTCAGTTACAAAGTTCTGCTGTTCCAAGTCCTATAATTGCTGTGTTGAGAATACCGACTATTTGTCAATCGAAATGTTTTCATTTTCAATAACCTCTGTCACTTTCTTCGCTATCGGAAGCGAATTTTAATGACGAGGAATTTGATTTAAATCATATCAAAGACGGAGTACATCGAGATGAAATACTACATTTAGTAAGGAATTATAAGCCAAATAAAATAAAACATCTGCCCTGAAGATAAGGATAGTGCTGACAGATCAACTTCCAATTCATTGCGCACGCGCGCCGTGGCTTTAAAGATAAACAAAGTTTAGATAAAAAAACGTTAAAGTTTAGATAAACAAAGGATATGCCTTTATCCATTTTTTGCAGGAATTCCACTTTTTGTTTAATGAACTTCGAAATATACTTTCGCTTTGTAGATCCTTTAGTATTAATAAATATATATCAGAAATTCTATTTGACATAATCGAAAGTTCAAGCTTACTTTTATAAAATTGCTCTGACAGTCTGCAAAAAATAATAAGCCGGATGCAATTCGAAGATTAAGGAAC